GTACGCGACGTCAAGGTCAGTATGGGCGTAGGAACTTGGAGGTACAACTTCTGGTGAGGTCTTCCGAGTCGGCGGTGGACAGGCGTTTCGCATCATAAATGTCTGACCATATTGTAGGGACCGTGCGGTAAAACAGGCGGTCGAGTGGGGGTAGTTCGATCCGTACATCAACATCAGTTTCGTGGTGGAAGTATGATGGCAGGGTAAAATACTTGGACTCGGCCTTACAGCCAGAATGGAGCGTAACTGGCTGTTGTTGTCGAACGATAAATTCTTTAGTTGTCACTTGGGTCGTAGGGTGTGACTGGCACGGGATGGCCAAACGTAATGGGTGGGGCGTAGAGATCAGCCAGCTACCGTCAACGAGGTAGGTAGCGCGGCGTTGGCCGTGCGTAAAACGTAACGCGCCTCGCACATAGTGTGGAGATTAGAGCAGTATCATTTAGAAATAGCGCGACTGGGCACGTAATCGCTGTCGTTATGGGATAAATAGGAGATCTTACATCACAGATCTCTAGATGCTTATGCAAGCATGACCGTACGGCGGACTCGTCCGGTTGCACGTAATTGGCATGGTCGAGTAAAACTCCAATGAAATTTTGAGGAATTTGGAACATATGCTGCCGCAGTGGAGTTACCGAGAAACACTGGCGGTGTTAAAATCTGGTACATCTGAAACGTCATCTCATTGTATGTGAGAGGTAAAAATGCGATTACGTGGAGTCCCATGTCCACAGGGACAATGATAGCCTCCATAAGGTTGTAATAATAAAACAAGTCAGCATGGGGGCTGTGTGGCATAGCTAACGTAGGGGGCAGCGAGCTTTCGATAGTAAGCAAGACTTCGCGCAGCTGATGGGGGGGTAACAGCGTAGAGGGCAAGCGGCCCGTTAATAAAACGGAGATGGCGTTTATCGTTGTATCAATTGTGGTTTGAACGTTATCGAATGCTACCATCAAACTAGAAAGGGATAACTGGAGGTGTGTAATCGCAATGTACTCCCGTGCCACAGAGGCCTGGAAGGCCGTTACTTTATACATGAGTGTGCGCACACTCGAGGTTAAGTCTCGGGCATGAGAAATTACATGGGACAAGACCTCCGTATTCATTTCTGTCTGAATACGAGTATAATTTATGACGGTGAGGAATTCGTCAATTACAGTCAAAATTCGCTCCTGTGTTGTACCTAATGCGGATAACTGCCGTTGCAGTTGCGCAATGTCATCATCGGTTGCCGTACCGAATAAAATTTTTGCAAGTTTACCAAGGCCACCAACTATAGCGCGTTTCTCTCTTGATTTATGCAACGAGTGCAGGTCTGTTAAACGGAGATTAAGTGTTTGTAAACGTTGGCGAAACTAAGCGATATGGGCTTGCACGAGAGATGTGATGTCGCGGTTCAAAGCCGCGAAGTATTGATCGTTGGGGGAGGGGGAAGGGGAATATGGTGCTTCCGCTGGCTGTCGTCTATACATCTTGCGTACATCCTTGTCGAGTGTAGATACGTCTGGATCGAGGTGAAGTTGAGAGTGAAGGCTATGCCCCAAGTACTCTGTGTGACCGAGATCTGACCTCTCGGGATAAAAACTACTCCCATCGTGGGTCACCGGACCTCTGTAGCTTGCGAGGCAAATAGGATCGCCGAGGCAACTACGAGCAGGGCGACCGTGGTAACAGGGACCATCGTCCTGAAACAGAAGAGTGCCCCTTAAAATAAACGTGGTGTATTTCGCACCTTAGCTGTATCAGTTAATTTGTGCGAGTGGCAACAAATCGTCTGCCTCCCAGCTATCAGTGCTGGGCGTGCTGGCCACGCTGGCTGCACGCGTGTCGTCGTGGGGAGACAACGAACGAGGCCCTGCGGTGACCGGCGTCCCTGACACGTTGGTCGACGGGCTGTCGTGGGGAGGCGACGAAAGAGGCTCTGTGTCA